GAGAGCAGCGCCAGCCGCCAGAAGGTGCCAGGCTCCCGGTCGTTCGGAAGAGAGCCCTTCCCGCTGCGCTCTAGGAACAGGGACAGCGGGGCCTGGCGCTGGGGGCGCCGGCCGGCACCGTGGATCCTGAGCATTTCTCCCAGTCTGATGCCAGCCTGACAGGAGGTGCCCTTCCTCTCCCCGAAAGCTGCCTTCTTCCACATCTTCAGGGGCAGATCCGGGAGGAAGGGGAGTCGTCCTGCCATCTTTGTAATTTCTGTTATCTGCGCCCAGGCTTGGGAGGGGAAGGGGAGAGGATATTATTAAAATCAGGGCGTGGTCTCTCTGGGAAGAATCCTTTCTTTGGGAGGGAGGTGAAGTTGTGGCTCCCCTACTCCCCGGGCCCAGCACACATTCAGGCCTAAAGTGGGCACTGCCAGGAACTTCCTCCACGCCCCACCCCTGCTGTGAGCCACTGCCTTTTTGTTGTCATGGCAACTGGGAATTAGCGTTTTCTTCAGCAGCACAGACCCAGGAAGGCAAAGGGAGGGAGGGTGATGGGTTGCCCCGCCTCAATCTCTTCCACCCCTTTCCCTGAAAAATGGGAGACCCAACGCCACCTTGGGGAGGTTCTGGAATGGGAACTAGGGCTGTAAACTCTACACCTGGTTCTGCCCAATGCCCCCTGCTCTCCTAGTCCCAACTCTGGGCTAGGAAGGGGAGAAGGGGGGAAGGGGAACCCAGAGAGGCCTTAGGGAGGTATGACATCATTTCTATCAGACAGACTGACAACATCTGTGGAGCATCTATCTACACTGGGCTAGGCCTAAGATCCAGAGGCAAAATAAAACAGATGTGGTTTTTGACTTCATGGAGCTTACTGTCTGGGGACACCCATCTTTCCTGCATTTGACTCAAATTCTGTATTCTTACCCAACCCCTCTAAAAAAAATAAATAAATAAAGACATCCAGGACAGCCTCCTGACTTGTGTGGCTTCAGTTGGTTGGAGCATGGTCCTGTATACCTAAAGGTTGCAGGTTCAATTCCCAGTCAGGGCACATACTAGGTTTTGGGTTCAGGGCTCTCTCTCTCTCCCTCCCCCTCTCTCTCCCCCTCTCTCTAAAATCAATAAACATGTCCTTGGGTGAGGATTTAAAAAAATAGAAAGGACAGATGGTGGGCATAAACGCTTAATTTTTTTGTTGAGTCATAAAGCCTGGATTTTCATTGTAGCTCTCTTTATTAGCTTTGTGACCTTGGGCAAATCAATTGATCTCTCTGATCCTCTGTCACCTCCTCCTCGAAGAACTGGGCACGAAATATCTGCTCTTCCTGCCTCCCAGGACTCTGGGACCATTCCGTTTACCTTGTTGGCTAATTGTGAGTGGGAGTTCCTTCCGGATTCCTTTCTCATCCTCCTTTTTCCCTCCTCTAGGAGAGGCATTTCGGAACCTTTGCCGACCTCACCATGCCGGTTGCCGCCACCAACTCTGAGACTGGTAAGAAAGGGAGAGGAAGTCAGTTAATATTAATGGTTCAGAGGGTGCCAGGCAGGGTGGGGAGCAGCTACCAGGCACTCCCACAGGTCCCTGTAGGAACACCACTATCTACCCAGCCATCCATTCAGGCAACTCCGTGGCCCTCCCACACCTGCCCCAGGGTAGCGCTGGAGACAGAGCTTAACACAGTTCCTTGGAGAGCAGGGGTATGAATGCTCCAAAGATAACGCACACTCACTATTGCTGGAGGACTATGGCATGGGACCTGGCTGGTGAGAAAGTGACCCCCTAGGAGCTGGGCCTTGGAGGATGGCTGAGGTAGAGGGACAACAGCAGCCCAGCCTGGGGATGAGAAGTCCATGATGCGGTGCCCACCAGATAGGTGGAGTAGACCAGCTAGAGATGTGTGTGTGTGTGTGTGTGTGTGTGTGTGTGTGTGTGTGTGTGCAGGGGCGTAGGAGGCTATGCAGGGAGGATGCCGGGTCAGGAAGCCTCAACTTGGTTCTGTAGGAGCTTTAAAGGGCAAGGGAATGGGCCACCCAGACAAGGTAGGAAGCCTCAGGAGCAAGCTGCTGCTTAGCCTCCCAGAGCCTGTTTTCTGTTCCGTAAAGAGGTTGATGGGATCCTCCAAGGCTATGTCAGAGAATGAGAGTTACCGTTAGGAACAGTCACTCACGATGCTATGCTCCAAATTATTACCTCATTAACCTGTAACCTTGAGTCATCCCTCCCTTTTGGGACCTAGGTTTCCCCATCTGTAAGATGAGGTGATGGGACAAGGTCATGGATCCTTTTGAGAACCTGATGACAGCCATGGGCTTCATTATAGACAAACTAGAGGCCCAGTGCACGAATTCATGCATGGGTGGGGTCTGACGGGCCACCCTAGTGGGGGCCCATCGGGCCAGGCCGGTGGGGGGAGGGGCTGCAGGCAGTTGGTGGCCAGCTCTGCCCCCATCAGCCCCCATCGGGGTGTTAGGGGCCGATAAGGGTGGGCTGGGAGGTCGGGGGGAGGCAATCAGGGCCTGAATCAAGCTGGTTGGCTGCCCAGTGGGTTTCATAGCCACTGGTTGTTCTGGTTGTTCTGGTTGTTCCGCTGTTCCAGTTGCTGGGCTTTAGGGCAGAAGCTACTCCTGGGCACGGAGGGCTGCCTGCAGGAAGGGCTAAGAGGCCTCTAAGTCCCGCATCACCTCTTCACAGAAGATGAAACAGGCTTCGGGAGGTGCAGCAGAGATCTTCTCTTCACAAAATCTGTATTCCACTCTGGGGTTCATGGCCGCTTTAGGGACCACCAGGCGAAGTTCCCTGTGCTAGAGGCTAAAGGCCCTGCAACTCTAACCTGCTCTGAGTTGTCTGTCTTTCTCGTGGCCTAGGTGCCTCCCTCCCAAGTAGCCCTTGCTGGAGGCCCTGCAGCTGCCTCTGCAAGATGTCCCAGGCTCCTAATGGTGTTAAAATGACTGTTGCTCTCCTCTGAGAAACTGAACCAGGAAAGTGAAGACTGTTGTGAGGGGCCAGAACCTAAACTGTGGCACCATTGTCCCCCAGGAAAGGCCTCTTCTTCCTGCCGTGGGGGGACTGCACCAATGTCCCCAGCTTCTGCAGCCTTGGAAGGCTCAGTGCCTCTACTTCCTGTCCAGCCTGCTGGGTCCCCTGGCCCCGCCCCTCCTACTCTGGCATGCTTGGGCCCCACTGTAAGCTGCTTATGGGTTAATTAAGCCCATCCCTGAGCCTGTGATTAAAGGCCTCTCAATCTGGGGCTGCCCAGTAAACCCATTAATAGTGCCTGGCAGGGGTGTAGAGGGAGGAGAAGGTTCACCAATTTAGCTCCCTTGCTGCAGGCCAGGTGATGGGGGCATCAGTGGGGTGAGGGGGGGTCAGGGCAGGGAGGGGAGCCCAGGGGTGTGGCTATAGGGCTTATTTCCTCTGAGGACTCCTGGGGCCCCTGCTTCCCTGGGCTGCTCCTGCCTTCCCAAACCGAAAGGACAGGAGTCAGCTGCTGCACCTCCCGAAGCCTGTTTCATCTTCTGTGAAGAGGTGATTCGGGACTTAGAGGCCTCTTAGCCCTTCCTGCAGGCAGCCCTCCATGCCCAGGAGTAGCTTCTGCCCTAAAAAATCTAACGGTGGGTTCTGCCCCTCCTCACTTGGTGGCCATTACACTTCCTCCAGGCCTGAGAGACAACTGTGCCCCAGCCTCTGAGGTCAGGTTTACCCTCCCACTTGCCTCTTCCTTTCGGGAGAGATCCCAGCCTTGGGCTCTGCAGAGAGTGAAGCTGGCAAGGTCCTTCTCCCACCCTTCCCCTTGGTCAAGATGGTCATTGTTATTTTGGAGGGGGCGTGGGATGGGTGTATTCCTCTCGCAGAGAGACCCCCAGCTCTACCTCTAGGAAGGTGGAGTGGCCCTTTCCCTGAGGGTTAGGGGAGGGCTGAGAGATATGTAGGTGATAGCATGGGCTGAGAGTGGAGAGAACTTGCCCCTGGAGTCTCCAGACTGGCAGCCTGGGCCTGTCTTTTCCTTTTACCTGATTCCTTTCTTTCTTTGACTCCAGAGGGGATGTAGGCTCAATTCAGATGGAGCTGTCCCTTTAAATCTTTCTTGCATCCCAGGGTTAACGTCCTGGTGTGTAAGCCCTCCTGTTGCCATGGCAACCAGGGGTGCAATGCAAGCTGGTGCCACTCCTCCGGGAATGGAGAGCTGGTGGCAGGAGCAGCACCTGGTGGCCTCATGGGTACAGGGTTTGAGAGTAATGGAGGCGCTGGGCTGGGGTAAATGCCAACTCTCTCCCTTCTACCGCCCTTGTCCCTGCTGCAAGAATGCTCCCTCACTTCTCCCTTCCACAATTCCAAGATGCCCGACTTGCCCACCAGGTAGTCACCTCTTATCCAAGGGGAGGAATTAATGGGAGATGGGGGACCCGGAGAAGCTACAGCTGAGATGTGGGGTCAGAAGGGCTTAAGGTACCCTTCCCAGGCACAGTGGTGCCACCTCTCATTCCCCTCCTTTTTCTCCCTGCCACCCCTCACCCCCAATGGCTGAGTTAGGCGGGGGCCTGAGTCGCTCTGGGGGGGGTGGGGGTGGGAGAGGCGCTTCCTTTGATTCGAAGGGGTTATTGTAAAGGAAACTGGGCCTGGAGAGGGGACACAGAGTAGAGGTCGGAGGGCACGGGGAGGAGGCGGCGTGGGTGTGTATTAGAGGACAGACCTTCAGAAGCGAGGGCGGGAACAAGGTGGGGCCAAGTCCCCACCCGCCTTGAGTGTCCTGCAGCCGGGCAGTGAGGGGAAGGTCTCTGAGCGCCGCCCCAGATCTGAAGGGGCAGCACCCCCGGCCCCTCTCTCAGCCCCCTCCTCCCCCCTCCCACGGGCTGGTACTGAACCGAGGGGGCTCCAGCCAGCCGGACTGGGACTCCCTTTCCCACCGCCCCCGCCTTTGACCAATCAGCAAGGCGGTCAGGGCGGCTGGACCTTTCTATTGGCTGATCCTGCAGAAGGCGCTCCCGGAGTCCCGCCTCCTCCAGCGCTGCCAGCCCCTGGCGGGGAAGGCGGCCCGAAGCCCGAGTGCAGGCTGCTCCTGGCGTCCGGGGCCGGGTGGGGGGCCGCTACGGCGGGCAGCCCAGGCAGCGGGGCCTCCTCGGGGGTTACATCCCGGGGATCCTCTGAGGAAGCCGACCTCCTAAGGAAAGGTAGGAAGGAGGGTGCGGAGGCCGCGGGGAAAGCTGGCTCCACAGGGTCTGTAGGCACCTGGAGAGGGTGTCCCAGGTACGGGCTTCCGGGAGGTTGAGGGTCCGGTGGCACAGCCCCTCCGGAGAGCGGGCCTAGGCAGAGGGCGCCAGCTCCCCTGGCTCCGTCCTTCCTCGGGGTTGGCAGGCTGGGCAGTCTGTGTGTGAGGACAGCTAAGGCGGGTGGACCCCGAGGTACCCTGCAGAGTGGGAAGGGTCCATGGCATCTTTCTGAGCCCCCGAGGGGTCTTACAGGTCTCTGACCAATGGCAAGCCCAGGCCTGGGCAGGAGGGGTCTGAAGGACAGACTAGGATGTTGTTTCTGGAAAAGGTGGGGTGAAGAGGGTGGGAGTCCAGGAGCCCCTGAACCATGTCTGCCAGCTCCAGTTTCAGTGCCTCCTCCTCCCCATTCCCATTCCTTCCTGGAGGAGGAGGCATTGGCAAGAGCAGTAAGGGGTGCCAGGGGCGGTCTCCACCCTTCCTCCTCCATGGCTTGGGGGCTGTTATGCAGATGTAGGTGTGGGTGGCAGGGTGGCAGGTTAATGATACCCCCTGCCCATCTCTGGCCCCCAGCTGGGCACACTCTGCTTCTCCTTTCCTCCCCCAGAACCTGCCACAGCTGGCAGCTCCCTCCTCTCCTGGGGTTGATGGCAACACCTGCCTCAGGTCTCAGCGATACCGCTGGGGCCCAGCATCAGGGGCCTCATGTCCTTGGTTATGTCCCTTCCCCGGCTGAGGGCTTGCGGATCCCGGGGACGACTTAGTCTGACTTCTGGCCTTGGGCGCCCACAGCCATTCCAGGCCTGTTTTCCCAGCTCCTGCCAATGTCCTGGGCCTCAGCTTTGGCTTCCTAGGATCTATATTAATTTCTGGATGATTATAGATCATTATCAAAGCTGAGGGGCTTATAGACACCATCTAATCCAACCCACCCGTTATATAGGAGGGAAAGATGGAGACCAGTGAGAAACAGTGAGTTATGCAAAATCACACTGAATTCGTGGCACGGCTTGCACTAGCTAACGTGTGGGCCCTGGCTTCCTGCATGGCTGCCTGTTGTCAGGAACATGACCCAGCACTGTCTCTCTCTCTCATTCCTGAGCCCTTCAGGGGCAGGTGGCTGAGTCCGGGGGCTCCAGCCCATTCAGAGTTGGAGTGAGGAGCCTGTGATTCCCTGGTGCAGGGCAGAACCTGGAACCTGACGCCTGCTGCCCTCTCCCCTCTCCTCCCACATCAGAGTCTACTTCCTCCTGCCTGGGGCCTCCCACCTGCCCAGGCTGGCATTACCTAGGGCCTGCAGAACAGGCCACGGCCACTCCCCGCGAGGGCCCTACCCCAGGCATTCCCGTGCCTGGCAGAGAGGGAGGTGCTGCTGGGGCGGGGCTGCCTTCTGTGGGGTGTGAGGTGGGGTGGTTGTGGTGTGTTTTGGTCTCTGGTGCCTAGCTGGCACCTGTGTGTCTCACCGCCTACCCCTTCCCCGCAGCCATGCAGCAAGTCCTGGACAACTTGGGATCCCTCCCCAATGCCACGGGGGCTGCAGAACTGGACCTGATCTTCCTGCGAGGCATTATGGAGAGTCCCATAGTAAGATCCCTGGCCAAGGTATAGTGCTCCAGGAGGCAGGTAGCAGGGCACTGTGTCTGGGGAGGCACAGCGGGGGATGGGGTGTTGGACATACAGGGCCCTGGGAATGGGGCATGTGGCACAAGAGACCCCTGGAGGGGGGTATACATGACCATCCATGCCCAAATGGTAGCTGGGGGACTGTAGGTCGGGGAGCGGTGCCAGGCCTGGCTGCTGAGTGCGGGGCACGCCCATGTGGAAGCTTGTGTGGTGTCTGCCGGCTTGTGGACTGTGATGGGAGGGGGAGAGCATGCCTGTGTGGGATCTCCAGAGTTCATCCTGCCTGTCCCTCTGTCATTGGGCATTTTGTGCAGACATTTTTACAAGGTCGCCTGCCATGCATCAGGCGGGTAAAAGACTCACTAAACGGGGGAGTTATTAAACAGTTGGTAACAGCAGTGATGGGGCAGATGCAGTTGGCATTTGGGAGCATAAAGGACAGTTGCCTAACTCAGGGGAGGCCTCCTGGAGGAAGGGCCACTTGAGCTGAGTCTTGATGAATGAGGAGGGAGGGGAGGGCATCCTGGGCCATGGGAAGAGCTGAAGCTGAAGCAAAGGTGAGAAGAGTCGGGAGTGAGTGTGCAGGGGACTGGCGTGAGGCTGGAGTTTCAGGTGTGAGATAGGGTGGGAGCTTCGGAGATGCTGGCAGGTGGTGGAGGGCACTGGGGGCTGGGCCCGGGTGCTTGGACATTGTCCTGTGATGTCCTGTGAGTCACATGGATGGAGTCTTCCATGGGCTTTAAGCAGGAGGGTGATGATGGAATATGGCCATTTTAGGAGCATCCCTCTGGCAGCCACATGGAGCTGGAGAGACTGAGGCGGGGGGTGGCTCTGAACCACACCTCTGGTAACAACAGGGCTTGAGGGACAGGAGGGTGAAGAAATATTTAGGAAGAAAATTGGCAGTACTTGGTGTTGGGGATGGAAGGTGAGGGGGGGAGGGTAGCAGGGCACCCTGGATTCTGCAGAGGAAAAGTGTGGGGCTGGTGCTGCCTTCAGCTGAGAGAAGCAGCGGGGATGAGGGGAGGGGCAGGTGAAGAAGGAGCCCCTCTTCCGAGGAGGAGGAGGAGGAGGAGGAGGAGGAGGTGGAGGAGGAGGAGGAGGAGGAGGAGGAGGAGGAGGAGGAGGAGGGAAGGCGAGAAAGGTGCCAATGCTGTGCTGGAGGCAAACTGGGCGTTGCATGGAATCATGTGTAATTGCTCAGATTTTCCAGTGGAGGTGGGGCAGTCATCTGCTGGGAATTCGGGATCGGGAGTTGAGCAGGAAAATAGGAGGAATTGGAAGTAAAGGTTCAACTAATCACTAAAGGGGAGGAGAGCGGGAACTCAGCAAAGCCAGGGAGCAGGATTGACTTGAGGTTGATGATGTCATAATCCTGAATTGCATAGCTTGCCTATATATGTATTTAGATGTAAATGCCCCTTTATATGTGTTTTTATTTTATTTTTTAACGTTTTTGTGTGCTTTTTTTCTTAATCCTCACTCAAGGATATTTTTTTCTATTGCTTTTTAAAGAGAGTGGAAGGCAGGGAGAGAAGGGTAGGGGAAGAGAGAGAGTGAGAGAGAGAGAGACATCAATGTGAGAGAGACTCATCAAATGGTTGCCTCCTGCATGTGCCCTGACCAGTGTATTTATTCATTGGTTTCCACACTGAAGGGCAGGGACGTTGTGGCCTATTTGCCTCTATTGAGGACAGTGCTGCATGAGGATGTGCATGTCCTCACACCCCTCTGCTTCTGCCTGTGAGAGTTCCTCTAGGGCGGGCCCTTGGCAATGGAATTGCTGATATGCACATTGTGAACCTTCCAAAGCTGATTTCAGATTTGGACTTATTAGACCACATCAGCTCTGGGTCATGTTAGCTATGGCTTTGACAGTGAGACTGCCAGTGACATAAGGAAAGTCACTCGGATTGACAGAAGCTCAGGGTTAGAAGGTCCTCTAGCCAGTCCCCTCCAAAGCATGACCCCCCCCCCCCCCCAGTCGCCTTCTTCTCTGGGGCTTTGTCTAACCTATTTGATGGGCTCTCCAATGATGGGCTTGCTGGCTGGCTGGCCCTGTCATCCACTTAATCAGTCAGTCACTCCATCATCCATCATCTACTCAACAAATACTATTGTGTGCTCACCATGTACCAGGGCTATGGCAATGAACTGTCAGCTTGTTCTTCTCCGGATGGAGCCCGAGTCTGTCATCTCCTCCTGGGACCTCACAGTGCAGCCTGACAGAGAGGTTGCCAACGGACTGTGTCAGGCTGTAAATAAACGCCCTTCTCCTGCAGGAGCTCAGGAAAATCCTTCCCATTTCTTCCGGTGTGACCCTTTGCGATGTAACTTTCCCACTTCTCGCATCAAAGAGCTGTCTCTACTCTCCAATCTGGGCTTGACCATGTGACTTGCTTTGGATAACGGGACCTACTTCTGACTCCTTGTTACCGATTTTAATGATTATGTATGTAGCAGTACATTTCTAATCTAATAGACAAAGTGCTTTTATCAAAGATCCAGCTGTAAAGGCTTGGTTCTCCCGACAAAGTGGCCCAGAAACCCATAGGAATGGAGTCGAGTGGAATTGCGTGCGGTAGCTATTAACCTTTTTATCTTACCCTTATGGAGCTGGGCTTGCCTCCTCTCTCTGGGGATGCAGACAGTGTGGGAGAGGCCAGGCTGGTTAGATCTGGGACCAGGGAGGGGCAAGGCCTGAGGGACAAACCCAGAGAAGTAAAGGCGCTGGAGGGAAGTCAAATCTGGCAGGAAGGTGATAAATCTAGGGGTCTGGCTGCAGACAGCAGGTGGCTGGCAGGTGGTTGGCATCTGGGAGGGCTGACATGGGTCCAGCAGCAGGTGTTTCAATGGCGGCCAAGGCTAAGGTGAAGAGTCCAATGTAGGCGACGCTCAGAAGTCCAGGCAAACGGTTACCAGTAGGGGCATCTGCCAGCTGGGAGGCCGCCACATGAGGTGCAGGAAAAAGAACACAGAGTTTGGAGTCGGAAGATTCACTGGTCGGCTGTGGCTTTAGGACACCTGACAGCCTCTCTGAGCTTCAGTTACTTGTTCTGAGAAGTGAGGATAATGATGCTGATCTGTCAGAGGCATGATGGGGTTAGATAGGGAGAGGTCATGGATGTGGAGATGCCTTTTTAAAAATATATATATTTTATTGATTTTTTACAGAGAGGAAGGGAGAGAGATAGGAGTTAGAAACATCGATGAGAGAGAAATATCGATCAGCTGCCTCCTGCACACTCCCCACTGGGTATGTGCCCGCAGCCAAGGTACATGTCCTTGACTGGAATCGAACCTGGGACCCTTAAGTCCCCAGGCCGACGTTCTATCCACTGAGCCAAACTGGTTAGGGCATGGAGGTGCTTTTTAAATCATAAAGAGTGTTACAATGTAGTCTTAGCCAGAGTTCACAGGAAGGACCCTACTCCTGTGGTCAGGCCAGGGTGAGAGAGATGGCAAAGCAAGACACAGCCCCAGAAGAATGAGGGTCCACAGGGGTCACTGACCAGCAGACATGACAAGCAGAGGCTACAGTGGTGAGGAGCCTAGTGTATCAGTTAACCTCTGCTGTGTAACAAACAATCCCAATGCATAGTGCCCTAAAACGATCGTGATTTATTTCTCATGGTTTTGTGGGTCAGTGGGGTGGCTTTTCTGGTATGGGCTTGCTGAATTGGGGCTGGGTGCTCTGGGATGGCCTCACATGCCTGCTGAGTCAGCTGGAAGGCTGTGGCATCTGGGATGGCAAGGTCTCTCATCCTCTGGGAGGTGGCGCCGGGTTCTTCATATGGTAGTCTCAGCCGCAAACGGGGACAAGCTCCAAATCCCAAGCACTTTCCAAGCTTCTGCTTGTATCACACTTGCTAATGTCCCATTGGCCAAAGCCAATCACATGGTCACATCCAGATTGAAGAGCGAGTGATGTTTCTGTCTGGCACACCAGTCTCTGGGACTTTCAGTTTTTGAACTACTTAATTATGACCCTAGGCGTCTTTTGGCAACATCAGAGAGGTTGGAGTGGGACCTCGGACGGAATAACTTTCAAAGAACTGGCAGTGTGGCATTCGCAGTTGGCTTATGGTTCTGGAGCAGGAGCTGGCACATCTGGGTTCAAGCACAGGCTCTATCATTAGTACTTGGTGGTAATGCTTTGGAAAGTCTCTCATCCAGTGTCAGTGGGAGGGCAGAGCAGCCCAAGCCCCATAAAGGGGAGTTGTCAGACCACATGTGTATTTACTGCTTGACCCAGCAGGCTTCTAGGTGTTTACATGGAAGAGCTTCTCCACAGCGTTAGAACAGCTATGCCAGCGTTATTCACTGCAGCTTTTTTTTGTTACTAGAGGCCTGGTGCATGACATTCATGCACACGGATGGGGAGTTCCCTTGGCCTGGCCTGTGCCCTCTCACAGTCCAGGACCCCTTGGAGGATGTCTGACTGCTGGCTTAGGCCTGCTCCCCCTGTGGGAGCGCCACTCAGCCAGAAGCCAGGCTCACTGCTCCTTAGTGCTGCCTCAGAGGCGGGAGAGGCTCCCACCAACACCGCGGTCCTTGCCAGCCGTGAGTTCAACTTCTGGCTGAGCGGTGCTCCCCCTGTGGGAGAGTGTCTGCCCCCGGTGGTCAGTGCGTGTCATAGCAACTGGTCATTCCATTCGGTCGATTTGCATATTAGCCTTTTATTATGTAGCAGTGATTGCCAACCTTTTGGACCTCACAGACCACCAGTGGTCCGTGGACCACCGGTTGGCGACCACTGTTATATAGAATAGTAAAACATTGGAACAACCTAAATACCCGGGGAGACTGATTGAATAAATTATGATACTCCAAACATACAATGAGTCAAGTGCAGTAATTAAATTAGTAATAATAATAATAATAATAATAATAATAATAAAGGAAAATCTCCATATTGTAGCATAGAGTGATTTCCAGGGCATATTAAGTTAAAAACCAAAACACAAACCAAACCTACTAAACAAACAAAAAACCCAAGAGGTCAAAGAGTGTATATAGTGTTCTCCCTTTTATGTAAGGGTCTAAAATCAGGATTTGGGGATGGGGAGATACCTGAGGGAAAATGGGGGGCACTGTTTGGTACCAGGGCTCTTGGGGAAGCATCAGGTCTCACCTGTTCCACCTTCACCCCCAGGCCCATGAGAGGCTGGAGGAGACGAAGCTGGAGGCTGTTCGGGACAACAACCTGGAGCTGGTGCAGGAGATCCTACGGGACCTGGCGCAGCTGGCCGAACAGAGCAGCACAGCCGCTGAGCTGGCCCGCATCCTTCAGGAGCCTCACTTTCAGGTTTCCTCCAGGCTGGGGTGCAACTGGGGCAGGCCATTGGGGGAGGGGCCGGCAGGAAGTTGGAGGTGGAATGGAAAGGGACTGCAGGGCACTGGCCCATGGTCCCTTCTCTTCCCACCACCTCCCCAGTCCCTCCTGGAGACGCACGACTCTGTTGCCTCAAAGACCTATGAGACACCACCCCCCAGTCCCGGCCTGGATCCCACGTTCAGCAACCAGCCGGTGCCTCCTGACGCTGTGCGCATGGTGGGCATCCGCAAGACCGCTGGAGAACATCTGGTGAGGGTGCTGGGCAGGGCCAGATGTGCAGTCCGGATGGGGGGATTGAGAGTAACTAGTAGTTAGGATCAGCTCTGCCCAGGGATCTGCCCATGCAGACCCAGGGGCTCGAAGACTGCGCATATGAGCTGCATACATACACGTGCCAGAACCCTCTTCGTTCTGCCCACTTTCCCGCCTTTAGTGTTCCCGTAAGTGAAGAATTTGGGCAGAGGATGGAAGAGGGGAAGTCTGTGAGGGCTATGTGGGGGGGTGGGATGGGAACAGGGGGTCCTGGAGATCCAAATGGGGGTACTGGAATCTTCCAATCTCCATTAGAGGATTCTGACGTGGAGCAGTGGGGCTCATCTTACCCTCTCTCCATCGCCCAGGGCGTGACATTCCGCGTGGAGGGTGGCGAGTTGGTGATCGCACGCATCCTGCACGGGGGGATGGTGGCTCAGCAAGGCCTGTTGCATGTGGGTGACATCATCAAAGAGGTGAATGGGCAGCCTGTGGGCAGCGATCCCCGTGCGCTGCAGGAGCTCCTGCGCAGCGCCAGCGGCAGCGTCATCCTCAAGATCCTGCCCAGCTACCAGGAGCCCCATCTGCCCCGCCAGGTGAATCCCTCCACCCAGGTCCCCATCCAGCACCAGGCCCGAGGGGTAGCTGAATCTCCCTATCAGGGTCACAGGCCTGGGGTGGTAGCAACTCTTCAACCAGCGTTGAAAAGCAAGCTAGCGGGCAGGATCTGCGGCTGGGGAGGCAAGTGGCCAGGACACCTGCAGGCATCTGCGTGTCGTGCACACACTCGCATTTGCCCTCGTCTTGGGCACCGTGTGCATGTGCAAGGGACATGTGTGCATTCAAGGCCTGTGGTACCCAAGTGTACCAGCGCGTGCCTGGTGTGCGGCTGCATGCGTGCCTGTGTGTCTGTGTGGGTGCGCAGCGTCGGATTGCCAGGTGTCCTGTACAGCGGCCTCTCTATTGGTGGATTGTGGAGGTCTGGCTGCTTTGCCCACTTCTATTGGCTCTCTAGCGTCTGCCAGAGCCCCTTCCTCCAAGGGGAGGAGGTGAGTGAATGGAGGGATCCTGCATTAGGTGATAGAGTCTCTATCCTTTACCAGGTGACCCTGCCTCCTCAGTAGGTGGGGCCAGGGCCCCAGGCCTGAGCACATTTCCCATCCTTCTGATTGAGTCCTTTTGTTCTAGATGCAAAGGGAGGCTGGTACCAGGGAGGCGGGCCAGGCAGGCCTGGGGGCATCATGCCTTTATTAAAGGGGCAGTACCAGGGCCTCTCTCATCTTTGTGAGGGAAGGGAGGAAGAGGGTGGACTGTATGACACCCCCCCTCTCCACGAGGGGTTGGGGATGGTGGGGTGGGAGATGGGAGAGGGCCCATCCCCTCAGCCTCCCCTGTTTCTTCCCTTGACCCTTCCCTGATCCCTGGTCCAGGTATTTGTGAAATGCCACTTTGACTATGACCCGGCCCGAGACAGCCTCATCCCCTGCAAGGAAGCAGGCCTGCGCTTCAACGCCGGGGACTTACTCCAGATTGTAAACCAGGATGATGCTAACTGGTGGCAGGTGAGCCTTGGGTGCCCCTGTTGTCTCTCTGGGTATGGTGTGGGGTCGGTCAGGGCTCAGGAGGTGTCCCCTCACTCAGAGCTTTGCCCATGTCTATTCTAGGCATGCCACGTGGAGGGAGGCAGTGCTGGGCTCATCCCCAGCCAGCTGCTGGAGGAGAAGCGCAAAGCCTTCGTTAAACGGGATCTGGAGCTGACGCCCAACTCAGGTATCGCCCCTGGTCCTCCTCTGGGATCTGACTGCACCCCAGCCTGGCCTCACTCACCCATCTCTCTATGGCCAGGGACCCTGTGCGGCAGCCTCTCGGGGAAAAAAAAGAAACGAATGATGTATTTGACCACCAAGAATGCAGGTGGGTGTTGTAGGCGCCTTCCCTCTGTCCTCCTTTGACATGGCACATCCCCTCTCTGCCCCCACCACTGACTTGTGCATATGCTCCCCTGGTTCTGATGCTGCCAGGCTTGTCCCTCGACCCTACCCAGCTTCTTCCTGCTGCCCCTGGCCCCTGAGAACCCTGCCCCACCCCTTTTCACCTGATGAACAGCCTGCTGAGCAGCGCCATCTCCCTGTGTCCAGAATTTGACCGCCATGAGCTGCTCATCTATGAGGAGGTGGCCCGCATGCCTCCTTTCCGCCGGAAAACCCTGGTGCTGATCGGGGCTCAGGGTGTGGGTCGGCGCAGCCTGAAGAACAAGCTCATCATGTGGGATCCAGACCGCTATGGCACCACGGTGCCCTGTGAGTGGGAGCTGGGCCTGCTGGGTGGGGGTCAGGAAGTGGGAATGCCCTGGAGGCCAGCACTGGGTCCACTGAATGGGCATATGCATGGGCACCACGTTAAGTAGCACTTTGGGTGTGAGGTGTGGGGCGAGCGCCCTCTATGGGCTGGTGGGGGAACTGCAGGCTGGGATTTTTGGGGAGCTGTCCCTTGAGCCTGTGGCCAGACGGGCTGACCTGTCCTTGCCTTTCCTTTTCTCACGTTTCACTTGCTAAAAGCCCAGCTGGGCACTGATGTGAGGCAGGGATCTGGCTGTGTGTGGCCTTACGAAAGACAGGGCTTCTTGGTGACAGAACCCGTTGGGGTGAAAGCTCCTGCTTCGTGGGGGCAAGAACCAGGTCAGCTTGGCCTTGCTTTATGGCTCCACATTGCCCTCTCTGGGCCGCAGCTCCCCCTCTGTGAGCACTGGGCCGGTTTCTCTCCATATGGATGTCTAAAGCCTGTGTGTGCCAATGGAGAGGGTGAGGGCACGGAGTGTGGGAAGGCAGCAGAACTGAGCATGTGAGGGCAGCATGCCCCCCCAGGGCTGTGGGATGCAAGTAGAACATGTGCATGTGTGTCTGCAGCAGTGCCCATTCGGCCCCTCCTTCCTTGTAGACACATCCAGGCGGCCCAAAGACTCAGAGCGGGAAGGCCAGGGTTACAGCTTTGTGTCCCGAGCGGAGATGGAGGCTGACATCCGTGCTGGGCGCTACCTGGAACATGGCGAATACGAGGGCAACCTGTATGGCACACGTATCGACTCCATCCGGGGTGTGGTCGCTGCCGGCAAGGTGTGCGTGCTGGATGTCAACCCCCAGGTACTGCTGGCCTGCTTTTCCCAGTCTGCCCAGTATCCCCACTGGGTCCTCTGATTCCCCCAGTGCTCCTCCCTATATTTCCAGGCACTTATCTCCCAAGCGCCCTCTCAGCTACTGCTAGGGACCAAGCCCCCTTAGACCCTCTCTCTCAGCCTCCAAGATCCCCAGCTCCTCTAGTCTCCTCCAGTTACCCCATTCCCAGCTACTTGCCAGCTGTTCACCTAGCATCCACCTCCAGGACGGATGTCCCATTCATTCCCATCTTCACCCCCATCACCCCACATGTACCTTTCTCTCCTGCAGGCGGTGAAGGTGCTGAGAACAGCGGAGTTTGTCCCTTACGTGGTGTTCATCGAGGCCCCTGATTATGACACCCTTCGGGCCATGAACCGGGCTGCACTGGAAAGTGGGGTGTCTACTAAGCAGCTCACGGTGAGGGGCTCTGAGGTGCGGTGGGAGGGGGCAGATCAGCGTTGATGAGGAGAAGGGGTGTTGAGGGAGGGGAGAGGCACCCACCCCAGGTATCAGTGAAGGAGGACTCGAAGTTCCCACCTATAGGTGTGGAAACAGAAGCCTGAGCAAGGAGGTGAAGTGCCTAGATTCCCGTAGCGTCAGGGACACAGCCAGCCAGGGGGCAGGAGCTTCTGCCAGGCTCACTGCTCGATCCACTCTGTGGGGACAGTGCTGACCACTGGGAGCCCAGAGGGCCAGTGGGGTATCTGTGGGCAGAGGCAGGGGGACTCTGGGCTATTTACAACTTGGGAAAGGCTGAAGGGAGGGAGGAAAACAGAGGCTGGAGGGATGCCTAGAGGGATGAGTTAGCCTTAGGGAGGTGGCAGTGCTGGGAGGAGAGGGTTCAAATCAGGTATTGCAGGACTCCAGGGCACCCCCCTCTTGGAGCAGCCTGTTCCTAGAGGTATAGGGTTTGCAGAGCTCCGTGCACAGGTGTCCCTCTGCTGGCCATACCTGGTACTGCCGCTCTCAGGGCCCTCGTGGCAGCATTGCCAAGGCCTTGGAGAGGCTGCTGGGGCGGGGCTGCCCTCTGCTGCATGCCACCCTGGCCACAAACACCGAGGACTGGTGCTGCTGGGACATGCTGGGCCAGCCCAGCGCTCCCATCTCCGCTTATTTAAGTCAGCGTTCAAGTCCCTTCTCACCCCTGCCTGACCAGCTTGGACTGGGTCTGGGGTAGGGGTTGCCCCTGGCGGGCACTGATGGGTTGCACCAGTACCAGGTCTGACACGTGCCTCTCGGGCTGCCTGATCAGACTGGAGGGAGCACTGTCTTTGGAGTCAGGCAGGCTCTGTGTAGCCCTGGCTGACGGTGTGAACTCATTGTACTTCAGTTCTCTCTGTTGTAAATGGGGAATAATGAGTCCTGCTTTGCAGAGCCGTAGTGAAAATTTGGTGAGTTGTTAAGATGTTAGTGCCAAATTTGGCTCTTACTAAGGGCTATTTCCTTCCTTCCTTTTACCTGTGTGTCTGTCCATGGTTGCAGGAGAGCGCCTTGGGACATGTAGGGAGGGGCTCCAAGCCAGGCAGTCTGTGCCCACCATGGTTGGCCTTGGGGGAGGGGACTAGGCGGGGCAGGCTGTAGATCCCTCTGATGATGGGGGTGAGTGGGGGACACTGACCGGCGGGAGGTCCCCTTGTGTTGGCAGGAGGCGGACCTGAGACGGACGGTGGAGGAGAGCAGCCGCATCCAGAGGGGCTACGGGCACTACTTTGACCTCAGCCTGGTCAACTGCAACCTGGAGAGGACCTTCCGCGAGCTCCAGGCCGCCATGGAGAAGCTGCGGACGGAGCCCCAGTGGGTGCCTGTCAGCTGGGTGTACTGAGCCTGCTTGACTGGACCTTGTCCCCTCTGGGTTGTGACCCAGAGACCTGAATCCATCCCTTTCCCAACCATGACCCTCAACCACAGTCCTGAGCTCCAGTCCCTGGGGCTCTGGCTCCCTGGGAAGCAGCTCCTCGCAGGTCCCGAGACTGGCTTCGGTGCAGAGGCACGCACTGCCAGGGAGGTGGGTGTTCGTGGGGTACCTCTGTGCCCAGGTGCTGCCCCCTCCTGATGCCCATTAGCCACCAGATGTTCCTCTTGAGGGCCACGCTGTGCCCAGGAGTGTGTCAGAGTCACCGCCCAAAGGCTCAGACCAGAGAAGAGAAGATGCTTTGAACCATGTGGTCAGTAGGTACACTGCCCCTGCCACCCCTCTCCAGTCACCTTCTCTCCTCTGGACTGGCCACCCCACCCTGTTCCCGAGCTCCTCCCACCTCTCACCCCTCTGTCCTAGGAGCAGGCCTTAGGCTTTTTCTATGTGGCCAGGGGAGTGCAAGGCCCCCTGGCAGCCAGGCAGGCCTGGCAGTGGGGCCAACCTGGTGCCATCCGGAAGGCTGCAGGAGCCAAAGCATGAGCCAGTTGTCACAGCCGGGAGCAGTGCAGCTCTCTGCTCCCGGGAACGAGGCAGAGTCCCGTGAATGGACCCTGCCCGGTATCTCCCTCACCCACAGCTTTTCACTGCCGAAGTCTCTCCACGGACTTCTCCAATGTGCCCGCAGGTCAGCTCTGCACCCTGCAGGGCCAGGCCGGCAGGGGGCAGCAGGCACAGCCCAGGCGAGGGGGGGGTTAGAGGCTGAGCCCTGTCCCCAGGAGCCTGCTACTACTGACCGAAGAGCTCCAAGCTCTCCATGGCCCATGGGGAGGACACGCCTGGGCTCCCTGTTCACAACCATTGTCCATGTGGTCTTTGCTCTGGCCAGGTCCACGTGGTCCACTAGTGTCAGGACTGATGGGGGGTGGGGGGGCTCAGGAAGGATGCGGAGGGAAGCTGTGAGCACTGTGCTCTGATAGGCTCCTCATTGCCCAGCGCCAGGGGGTGCCATCCATACTGTTTCTGTGCAGGTTACGTCCACATGCGACCCCCCTGGTCTGGGTTCTGCCACTGGCATGTGTGTGTCGGGCTTGGTTTTTGGAGAAGAGACACTTTGGAGGTCACTCTTTGGGTCCCCTTTTCAGGGTTTCCCAGCAGCTCCCCTGTCTTATGAGGCACTTATCCCAGATTCTAGAGCCTTGACCCGCCCAGATGTCTTCCTCCAGCTTTTATTGTCCCCTGACCCTAAATGCCACTCTCCTGTCCTTGGTGAGGGCAATTGTGTAAAATAGGAGACTCCCTTTTTTTTTTTTTTTTTTTTTTTTAGAGAAAGTGAGAGAGAGAGAGAGAGAGAGAGAGAGACATTGATTGGTTGTCTTCCCATGTGCCCCAACTGGTGAGTGAACCTGGAACCTGGGTGTGTGCCCTGACCGGGAATCGAACCCACAACCTTTTGGTGTACGGGTCGATGCTGCAGCCACCTGAGTCATACTAGCCAGGGTGAGAATCCCTTTTGAGAAAAGAATGCTGTCCTCAACTTCCCCAGGCATCTCATCCCTCATCCTTCTCTGTGATCCTTCCTGGGGTGAGCCTGTCCTTGCTAGGGGATCCCCTAGCCCAGTGATGGCGAACCTATGACACCCATGTCAGAGGTGACACGTGAACTCATTTTTTTGGTTGATTTTTCTTTGTTAAATGGCATTTAAATATATAAAATAAATATCAAAAATATAAGCCTTTGTTTTACTATGGTTGCAAATATCAAAAAATTTCTGTATGTGACATGGCACCAGAGTTAAGTTAGGGTTTTTCAAAATGCTGACACGCCAAGCTCAAAAGGTTCGCCATCACTGCCTCAGCCCCTGTGCCCCCCAGTCCTTCTGAATGTCAGTCATGTTCGCTGCAGCGTCAGCCCAAGCTGGCCCTGAACCACTGTGTGCCCATTTCCTAGGGAAGGGGAGGGAGAAGAAACAGAATATTTATTACAAAGTTAGAAATATATTTATTATATTAGGGATCTCATTGCATTTGCATAAGATATGCAAATGAGATGTCAGGGTCAAGTCTGCTCCCATCTCATTTGCATAGCTCCGCATCCACTATGCAGTCATCTTTATACTCCTCTTTTCCCTTTATTCAGCCTTCTTTTTATCCTTAATTCAACTCTTACATCACCCTCACCCTCAGCCCAAGGGGACTGGGAGTGGGAGGAAAATGGAGTGTCCTTTGCCAGGTCCCACCTCACCTGGTTAACCTCTGACCAAAAGATGGGGTCGGGTGGGGGGAGCTGGGCACATTGCTGGAGGGTTGGCAGGTGGCCCTTTAGGGTGAATCTCCAGTGTTGATGCTCTCTGGCACCTTCACCTCTAGTGATCCCCAGGGGGCAGGGCTGGGCCCCTCTCCTGTCCCCATCCCTCTCTGAACAGCGTGCTACCTCCCCTGCATAAGCCCCACTCCATGGAACAGGTGTGTGCACCCACGAGTTAGCTCTGACTCTGTCCTCCCTCCTCCCACTGTGGACGCTTGTATTTGAGGGGCCTCAAGATAATGAGGCCCCTGCCCCCCACAGTCTGAACCCATTTCCCCTTTCCCCTCCCCTCCCTCAGCCATCCAGTTCCTGAGCTTTCTGTCTGACTGGTTTTCTTTCTTTTCCGTTGATTAAATGTGAAAGCAAAGGCATCTGGGCTGTTTGTCTTTTTTTAATTTTTTTATTTAATTTTTTAATTGATTTCAGAGAGGGAGAGAGAGATAGAAACATCAATGATGAGAGAGAATCATGGATCGGCTGCCTCCTGCACCCCCCACACTGGGGATCGAGCCTGCAACCCGGGCATGTGCCCTTGGCCAGGATAGAACCTGAGACCCTTCAGTCTACAGGCCGATATTCTACCCACTGAGCCAAACCGGCTAGGGCAGCGGTTCTCAACCTGTGGGTCACACCCCTTTGGGGGTCGAACGACCCTTTCACAGGGGTCGCCTAAGACCATCGGAAAACACATATATAACTACATATTGTTTTTGTGATTAATCACTATGCTCTAATTATGTTCAATTTGTAACAATGAAATTGGGGGTCACCACAACATGTGGAACTATATTAAAGGGTCGTGGCATTAGGAAGGTTGAGAACCACTGGGCTAGGGCATGGGCTGTTTGTCTTTGGTTGGGGTCGGCAGATGGCTTCTGGAGAGGGCGAAAGCAGGGACCACGGCACAGATGGTTCTGGAACGGATTCTGAGTGACATGTCTTGTGTTCTGTGCTGTCTTCTGAAATTTCCAGTCCCGCCATTCCACACTCCCCCTCCCCCAAGATGCTCTTTCTACCACCTCCCCCTCCCCCAAGATGCTCTTTCTAAATGATTGCATCCAGTAGCCTGGGAGCGTTCTCAGGGCCAGGGAACTGGTACTCCATGGCTAATCCACTCAACATCACCTAGAACTGGCTCTGTGGTCTTCAGCAGGTCCCTCTACTTCTTTGGGCGTCAGCAAGCTTTTTTGGGGGAAGGGAGCAGGGTATAGATTGGTAAACCCATGTGGTCCCATCAAGATGGGCAGATCTGCTGCTTTTGCACCAGGCTTATGGGCCCCACTCAGGTCACTGTGGCACCCCTCCCAGCGGCCAAAGCTGGGTGCCTGCCATATTTTCAAAGTTTTGTTGGTGAAGAGCACCTCACTCTTACTTCACAGGTGCCCCAAAGCACCTCTGAGGGTATAAGGAGGGTACAATGCGGAAGTTCATGAGGAGGCCCCTACAGGGTCCTGCCAGCTGCTTCAGCTGGTTCACCCCCTGGTCCTTCAGAACATCCTGGGCCTGGTCCTGACCAGCAGTCCTGGCTGTTAGATAGACATGCGCAGAGCAAGGACGATAGGCCAGGTACAGAAACTCAGGGCAGAAAGCTCTGGAGGCCTGGCAAGGGGCAAAACGGACAAACAAAAACCTTGTCCCCAGGGTATCCTCTCCTCCCCTAGCATATCGCTGTCTATGGTTTAGACTCCTGACCGTTTTTTCCCGAAAGATAACGTCTAGGCCTCAGTTATAGTTCAGCTCCAGGCCCAGAAAAGCAGCAAAACTAGACAAGTGACACCGTGGCTGCCTCAGGACCAGCTGCCCTGACACCGGCTAATGACTTCCTGCCCTGACACCGACCAATCAGTGGAGACCATGACCTTGAAGGAGCACAGCTGGCAAGCTGATGAATATTCTTTGGAGACCCTCCCCAGGGAACTGGGACTCCATGACCTCCCTAAGATGGTTTCCAGGAGAGAGAGAGAGAGAGAGAGAGAGAGAGAGAGAAGGAAATACGCTCAGGACAAAGGACAGGGACATATCTCCTAACCTCTAAGGCAGCAGTCACCAACCTTTCGGACCTCACAGACCACCAGAGGTCTGCGGACCACCGGTTGGCGACCCCTGCTGTAAGGGACCGCATGACACTTACAACCGGGAGAGCAATGGGCAGCGGCAGCTCCTCCCAGGCTCACCCCCTGAGCCTGTCTCCAAGGCCCCCTTTTCGCTGACTTCTCAGTGAGCCAGAGCAGCCCTGCCTAGGCTCTCCTGTGGCTTCTTCTATGCCCTTCCTGGTTTCACTGTCCTATGTGTATTTTTGCTGCCATCATGGACCCAGTACCCTTTGGCTCAGTGCTGTGTAGCCCTTCCCTTTGGATATCTCCATCACCCCCACCCCCGTCCTCTTTTCCTTAAATTCATTTTTTCTTTATCCTCCATCTGAGAGGGCTTACTTAGCCTGCCCGGGCCTCACCAACTTTAACCTTTCACTGGCAATCATCAGCAGTTTTAGCTGAATACGTCTTGGTCTTTTTGTGAAACTTTTAGCAAATGACAAGCTACACATTACACAAACCTTATAAATTCCAGGGCTAGATCAAGGCAAAGTTATAAACGACATAAAAGATTACTCTAGGCTAGACTACGTCCTGGGCTCCATATGCCAGCTAGGTTAGGGGCAGCTCCTTTGGCCACACCCACAGGGACGGGGTTGGGGGGGGTGCGGGGGGAGGGGGCGGGGGGCAGAGGCTGTGAGAAATGCTGATGGTGAGGCCCTGTGGGAGCGAAGTTGGTGCTGCCATTTCAGGAAGCTGTGTTAAACAGCCACAAAGAAAACCTAACTTCCGTGGCTGAATGCCTTTTTTTTTTTTTTTTTCCTGAACAGGTTTTATCACACGGGGATGGGGCTCAGTCCTTCTTGGCTGCTGTCTTCCTCGTGGCTGCGAGGACAGCTCCTCTCTCTTCCTCTTGGCGTGGATGTGTGTCCCCAGCCTTTTCTTGACAAATTGCAGGGCCCCCTTGTGCATAGAGACCTGGAGCCGCTCTACGGCGCACTGCTCACGGGGTGTGGGGGGCAGAGCCGCACCCTCTGAGATCGTGTCCTGCAGGAATGGGGTGTGCGTGGTGAGGCGCGTGGTGGGGTGCTTGGTGAGGCGCCCGCGGTGGCCGCTCACGTTTTTGGTCACCTTGTGGCCCTTGTGGAGACCCACGACCACGGGGGAGCGAGAGCCATGACAGAGGCCCTGGGGTCAACGGTGGTGGATCCCCGCGGCCCCCCCCCCGGCCCAACTAACCTGCTGAACGCCTTTTTGAAAAGAAAGGGGGTATTGGGCCATATTGCAGCCAGAGAAGGGCCAGGCCCTGGGCATGAGGCCTGAGCCGCCAACAGCATGATTCGGGCGGGAAGGCAACCTGTCCCCCATCCTGGAGCCCACGAGTGTTTTTCTATATTTTGTTTTGGGGAAGAAAGATGCAGTTTGTTTGGACAGAATTTGCATTGGCTACAGAAGGGGGCTGAGATAAGGTGAAGCAGGGACAGTTCTGATAGGAGCACCTTCCGGGGAAGGAAGAAATCTTCGCTTCTTTTGATTGGTTTTGGGCAGCAGTTCAGAACGTTCGTTCGTTCATATGCAGGATGCCGGGATGCCCGGGGTCAGCTGGTCGGTGCCCGGAGGTTGACCCAAAGCTCCAAAAACATTCAGGAATGTCAGCAGTCTTTTGTCAGTCGGCCCGCAGCTATTAACTGGTTAATTAATTCACCACTACTAGTATAATAATTCGCTGGTTAACTATTCCTGTCTCTCTTGCTCACTCTCCTGCCGGCTGTAATTTAATTTGGAACATCTCAGCTTTGTTCTTTTGTCAGCTGTTTATCGATAGGTATTAGCAACTTCAAAAATATTTATGCCCTATGACCCGGCACTTTCACATACGCAAATCCTTCTTAAGGAAATCTCCAAGTGCAGATAAAGCCTTGCGCAAAGCACAGTGGAAAATGGTTATCTAGTGGAAGAGAACAATGAAATTAAAGTGCACTGACATGGCGAAATATGACACAGCTGATAAACACTTTATTTATGGAGAAATGCTTATCTGCAATAATAGCGAAGTGGGAAAAGCAGGATATGAAGTTGTATAGGCAACATGATTTGTAAAAGAACACCAGCAAATGATGCGGAGAAGAAAGACTGAAAGGAAACACCACGAAATGCAGTGATGAGGGTCTCTGGGCAGCAGTGAGAAGATGAATGACTTTTCTTCTTTTTCCCTCCAAGTTCTGTATACGGGGCAAGACTTCCCCTCTCCACCCCCTAGCCCCTGCCCCCAATTTCACTGTAAAAAAAAGAAGAAAGAAAAATAATAGTAGCTCAGGGGCCAGACTCAGGGTCACCTTGAGGTTCCCTGTAGGTTCCTGCCCTAAACCCTTCCTCTTCCCTTTTAGAGACCCACCTGACCAGTGGCTTCCTGCCCCTCACCCCAGCCCCTCACCAGCACCCACAGGCAATTAACTCTTTCTCGACCAGGAAGGAGCCATGCTTGTCTCCATCCTTCCTCCAAAGCCTGGAATGAATGCCTGGCTGGGTGGGGAGATCAGAGAGGCAACTCCCTGCCGCCCAGTGTGTACCTGCCCTGGGCTGACTCAGGCAGGAAAGCCTCCCGCTGGGTCATGGTTCGTGAGCAGAGCATCCCTATGGGGTGGGTGGAAGACCCCACATCCCAAACGTAAGTACTGAGCGTTCAGGGGGCCCAGGGTTCTCCACCTGAGATCACCAGGTACTTGTTAGAAATCCCAGGTCCTGGGCCCAGCCCCAGGGCCGGCTTGGAAGGATGGGATGGAGCCCAGGAATCACCTCTTTCAGCAGCTTCCTGAGGCCTGGGATGCCGTGGTTCACAGCTGCACGTGGAGAAATCAGAACTGGTCTAACGGGCAACAGGCCCGCTCCTCCCTCCAGCTTATGCAGGAGCGAGTGGTGCTGAGTCCAAGGATGGAGGGAAGGGAGGAGCCGGTGGGGTCTGCAGGGGGCGGAGGGAAGCCTGCTGCTGGGTCCAGGCCCAGGGGATTGCCTGCTCCAGGTACACACAGACCAGGTCTTCTGAGCCCTGCCTGGCCCTGGCGAGGGCCCGGGGATGTGACCGTGCTGGGGAGGTCCCATCCCCGCTGCAACTGCGGGGCCCCGCGGCAGGCTGGCACAGGCATCCAGGCCCGGCTGGGCAGGCAGGAGAGCCCGGGAGGCTGCAGAGGCCACGGCCCAAAGCTTATTGCAATTCGTGTAAATCCAGCCACTCCAGGTCATGGTTCGCGGCAGGCCTGGCCCGGAGGGCGTCCAGTGGCTAGACTGGGATGAACACGGAGGGTCTGAGCTCCTCCTCGGACATGTGAAGGGGAGGCCCTGGGTTCGCCTCACCCGCCGGGTCCTGGAAGGAGGCCTCCTCTTTCTTCAAAGTCTGCAAAGACAGCGGTGGGGTTGGAAGCAGAGCGCAGTTAGGGCTGGGGGTGGGGGGGGTGGGGTGGGGGAGGGATGGATCTGCGCCGCTTCTGGTCCACCCCAGAGCCTCTCCCACAGCTCCAGGCCTCTGTCCATCTGCGGGGTCACAGGAACTAGCAACCTCTCCCCAGAATCTCCAGGCTTTGACTCAGCCCTCCCAGCCCTCCCTCCCCAGCCCTCCCTCCACCCCCTGAGGGAGCCCAGGCCAGGCTCTGGCTTTAGATGCTGGAATCCTGCCAGCCCCCAGCTCTTTAAGCCAGTGGTCGCCAACCGGTGGTCCGTGAGGTCCGAAAGGTTGGGGGCCGCTCGTTTACGCTGTGATTCCCAACAAGCGAGTCAAGAATGTTCCGGATGGGAAAAGGAAATAAGGTCAAGAGCTCTGGCTCCGAGTGGAACGGCCGAGGCCTGTGGTTATGGGGGGTAGGTGGGTGCATGGGGGCGGGGGGCAGGGTTTGGGGAGCAATGCTAAGGAAAGAGCCTCTCCCCACCTGCCCGCACTGTCCGAGCGGGGCCAGGCCGGGCGGCTTTAGACCCCGAGGGCCGTGTCCACACCTGGCTTTGGCGCCGGATCTCCGGGATCTCCGTGTAGGGGCTGGCAGAGGGCTTGGGGCCGGCTCGAGGCCCAGGGGGTGCTGCGAGGCTGACCACAGCGTACTCCGGGGCCTGGCGATTCTGAAACAGAGACTTGGTCAGAACAGCCCGTTCTTGGCAGTAGGGGTGGTCTGTGGAGGCAAAGGCGGGAGGGGTGGGCAAGGGGAGAGCATGGGCTGTGAAGTCACAGTCCCTGCGTCCCGTTTCCTCTGTCGCAGTGGGACCTTGGGCAAGACACCTAACCTTCCCAAGACTCAGTTTCCCAAGCTGTAAAATGGGGATAAGAATTTTTCCCTCAGGGTCATAATGACTCTTCATGATAATGTTTTATCACTCAGCAATGGGGGACTCCTGCAACGATGAATTTGTTTTCATGATTGTTATTTCTAGCTTTGGCTGCAGGTTCTTTGTAATAGGCTCAGAGAGAGCAGACTCGGACATCTCAAAGATTCACCCAGTAACAAACAGCACGAGAAGAATTCTCCAGAGTTTGTAAGTCTGAGCAGCCCCTCCTGGATCAGATGAGGAAACCGAGGCCCGGGGAAGAGAGGTGGGCGGTCCAGAGGAGACGGGGACTCCCCAACACGTTCACATGGAGAGATGGGCAACTCACATAACCTCGCTAAGCCCCAGCCTTCCCCTCTGACAGGGCTGGAGTTGGGAAAGTGTGAGATGAGACCATCCAGAAAGCCGGAGCTCCTCTCTTTGGCTTCAGGGCCCATCAGGCCATGAGACTCCTGGCCAGGCACCTCAGGACAGCTGTGCCCCGGAGAGACTTGGCCAGGGGCCTCGGCCCACTCCAGCCTGTGCTCTGCCCAGCGGCTAGGACCCGGGAGCAGGAAGTGGAGGGGCCTGGCATCCCAACCTGAGGACCCAAGGATATTGTTTCCATCGATTCTCAGAGAGAGAGAGAGTGGAACAGAGGGGGAGAGACAGAGAACGAGAGAAACAGCAATGTGAGAGACACGTTGATTGCAAAACTGAGACCTTCAGTCCTCGGGCTGATGCTCTGAGCACTGAGGAGGAAAACCGCCAGGGCAAACCTCCAACCCGTCAACTCCACCTCCAGACTCCGCTCAAAACGACAGAAGCCAGAGAAAAGCAGAAGTTTTCGGCTGGTCCCATTCACAGGATCTGGCCTCCGACCCTCTTGGGAGACCTGTTCCATCCTCCTAACAAAGCCCCCCACCCCAGCTCCTCTGCTCATGGCCCAGTGCCCCTCCCACAGGTGCAGGGGCGGGGGCAGAGCGGGCAGCCTTCCCAGTGTGGGCTGGACAGCAGCAGAGCAGGGACGGGCCTGGGGCAGGCTCTCCCCACAGCAGGGGGGTCCTCTCTCCTCCCCAGCTCCTCTCAGGCATTGGGTGGGAGTGAGCCCCAGGAGGAATAGCCTGGAGGCCGGGCTCCGAAAGCGGCCAGTGGCAGCCCCTGTCCATCTCCTTGACCTTTCCCTCACTCCTGTCCACCACCTTTAGCCTTGTAGAGTTTCCTGAGACAACAACAGCTGCTTCCTAAGCCACGCCCAGTACCCCATTCCCGCCTCCGCCCCGGCCCCTCCCAAGAGGGATCAGGCCTGAGGCTTTTGTCTTTGCTGGCGCCAGGAAAGAAGGCGGAGTAGCCCCTTTCCTGCCCCCAAGTTTAGGGAATCAGAGTGGAGGCATCTCAGTAAACAGCCGAGGGAGGAGGGGGTGGGTGAGGCAGGTGGGGCTTCGGTTTCCTGAACCCGTGATTCCGCAGCCCTCTCCTTCCGTGGAAAGGGACGTTCTCTTTGCAGGGGTCAGGGAAGGGCCAGGGCAGGTTCCCCTCTCCAGGAAGATGGGCAAGTTACCCCCATTCCTTCTTCCCCTTGGCTCCCAGAGCACCACCTTCAGGCTGTGTCTCAGAGCCAAGAAAATGCTCAGAGAGAACAGTAGGGTGTTCTGAAAAGAGGAGAGATGGGAGACGAGAAATCTGGGTCCAGTTCTCTGTTTGGGCCGCCACTTGCTGTGTGACCTCGGGCAAGATGTTGCCCCTCTCTGGGCCTCAGTTTCCTCTCCTGCAAACGCAGACTGGAGCCTGCAGTTGTCATACTCTGGTGTGCCGTCAGAATCCACAGGGCCCCACCCCTCGAGGTTGCAGGTGGGAGAGGATATTTTTCTGACACCACCTGCCCACCAACCCCAGGAGTTCTGAAAGGGGGTGTGCACCCAACTTAGAGGAAGGCTGGACTAGATGATCTCGAAGGCCCGCTCTGGATCCAGTTCTGATCTTCTCTGATTAGAAAAGGGGGAGGAGAAGAGGGTGCTGGGCTTGGGGAAGAGCCCTGCCTGGCCCCGGGGGAGGAAGGAGGCTGTCAGCTCACAGCCTGAAGGGCTCGTCTTGGGGCTCAGAGATTCCCTGGAGGTGGGAAGTCATCCCTGCCTCGAGGTCAGCCATGGAGGACCAGGTAGATGTGGAGTCGGAGCCCTGCAGAGTCTGAGGGTCCGAGCTTGGCCTCTGTCTGCCTCCTGACTTACCAAGTGTGAGAGGTGGACCTTCTCATTCTGTGTCTCCGTGTCCAGTTGAACTGAAAGAGATCAGAAGGAGCACCTTGAGGCCAGGAGTAGCCAGGAGTAGCCTGCAGCTGCTCCCACAGAGGTGGACTGGCCTCCCTGCATCTTCGGGCAGGGGCTTCCTAGAGGGAGTTGGCAGGCAGGTTGGGCAGAAATGCCCCTTCTAGCTCAGCCCCTTGGCAATGAGTGGGCCTTTGGAGATCAGTACATGGACGTCTCCTCATGTGGGCCAGAGCCAGGCTGGGGAAGGGAAATTCTGTCTGCTAAAGCCATTGCTTCTTTTTTGAATCCTCACCCAAAGAGTGAGAATACTTTTTCCATTGATATTTAGAGAGAGTGGGAAGGATGGGGGAGGGGAAGAGAGAGACACATCAATGTGTTAGAGACCTCCTGCCCACACCACAACCGGGGGTGGGGCTTGAACTTGCAACCAAGGTATGTGCCCTTGACCAGGAATCGAATCAGAGACCCTTCGGTTCATGGGCCGACACTCGAACCACTGAGCAAACCAGCCAGGGCTAAAATCATTGCTTCTTAAACCTCAGCGTGCCTACAGGGCCCCAGGAAATGTTATCAAATGCAGATTCTAATTCAATAGACTGGCCTTGGGGCCTAAGAGTCTGCACTGCTACCAGGCGACCAGGAGAGGTCACGGCTGCTGGCTGGGGACCACGATTGGAGAGGCAAAATGCTAAGAGGTTCTGAGGTTGTGACCAGGAATGCTCCCACCTGTATGCTCCTCCCCGACTCCTCTGTGGGGATTTGGGGACATGGGCAGAGCTGACATTTCTTCCTGGGGCCGCACAGGGAGGAGCTGGGAGGCAAGCCCAGGATGTCCCCTTGGCCCGTGGCCATCTGCACAGAGACAACACTGCCAATTTGCAAAGTGCTTTCCCAAACACCTTCCTGTCTCCACGGCTTCCTAGCTATGCAAGCACAGGGCCTCAGCCTCTTTCCCTGTATAATGGGAGTACTTGCAATAAGCAGTTCCTAACTCCACAGTATTGAGGAGATTAAAGGAGATAAAAGCAACATAAGCTACACACCCATGCCTGGCACCTGGCAGCTTCTATTACTGCTGTTTCAGTTATTATCTGTGCTGTCCAACCCAGGAGCCACGGGCCACACATGGCCCCTGAGCGCTGGAAATGCGACTCCGAATTACACCGGGTTTCAAAGACTCAGTATGAAAAAATGAATGTAGAATATGTATCATTAACATTTTTATCTTGTTTCCATGCTGAAATGATCGTATTTTGGTTATAGCGTGTTAAATAAAGTATATGATTAAAATTAACTTCACTAGTTTATTGTTTTCATGTGACTATTAGAAGAATTGCACATTAGATATGTGGCTTGTGTAATATTTCTTCTGGACATGTACCTGTGACCTGAAGAAGCCGAGGCTCAGGAAAGTTAGATGAGTCCCCCCAGGTCTCACAGCTAAAAAGATGGAAGACCTGGGGTTTGAAGCCACGCCTCCACAGCAGCTGGGCACTCCAGACCCAGCGGGCCACAATGAATGTCACGCTCAAGTTCAAGTGCTGGGTCCAGCCTTCCCCCCTATAGTCAGTCCTCACACAGGAGCTGGACCGGCAGACACTGAACATGGATTCTCTGGGAAGACATGTTTGGCACCAGGGACCAAACATCTAGTCAGTCCCAAAGGACCCCAATCTCCACTGCCAGCCCCAGGAGACACATTCAGCTGGGTCTGTACTTGCCAGCAGTTACCCGGATGTCAGTAACTGTGTGTAATTACGTACAAACCCCCAAGAACAATAGGGAGGGAAGCGACTGATGACCTCGGATGGACGTGAGCAAGCCGAGAGCCCCGCTCTCACTCTCACTCCCCCATTTGAATTACCTTTTTCCGAATGCCGGTGGCCCTGTGGCAGCCTCAGAAAGGACTCGTGATGCCCGTATCTCAGACAGACACACTGCACCACAGGGCTTCTCTGGGGTGATGGTGGGAACGGCTGGTCTCAGTGAGGTCCCCGGCTGAAAGCCTCCCACCCACTCCCGTCTACCTGTGCTCACCTTCCTTCCTGCACCGGAGCACGCACCTGCCGATGACAGCCAGGCCTGCGGCCAGTAGGAGGGTCAGCAGCACTAGGACCGGCACCAGGATGTGGGTCTTTGAGTGGGACGCCCTGCAGAAGGCACCCAGGGGCTGTCACCAGCCAGCAGCACGCGGTGCACCCGACATTCCTATTCTGAGTCCCAGCCATGTCCCTTGTCTTTCCCAAGGAGATCAGAGGGCACCAGGGACCAAACACTAGTCAGTCCCAAAGGACCCCAGTCTCCACGGTCCACCCCAGGTGACACTTCAGCTGGGTCTGCACTTGCCAGCAGTTACCCGATGTCAGTAACTGCGTGCAACGACGCATGAACCCCCAAGAACAATCCTTCAGGCTTGGACTCCAGTTGGGTGGGAAAGATGTTTTTGTTCCCTATTTTCATGCTTGGCACTGGGCCCAATGCAAAGCGTACAGGCAAAAGCTACTGCACTGGTGTGGCTTCCCTGAGGCTGGGGCTGGGAGAGGGGTGGGCCCTTCACCTGGGGTGGGACTGCGAGTCCAGGGCAACAGGGCTGCTGGCCCCTGTAGGGCAGGTGGCTCACTGCTCAAGGGCCCTGCTGAGGGGGGGAGTGAGGGCTGAATCTGCCCTCACTGCCTCCAGCTGTGGCCGTGGCCAGAGGCTGTCTTCACCTGGAGGAAGGAATGTTAGGTTCTCCTTTGCTCACAGGCTCCTTCCGGGTTGGGGATGGCCTGCAAGGTGACCTTGGTCCCCTGGAGCTCACCTGGACTTGGGGTCTTCCGTAGAGGTGGAGTCCAGGTACGTGGAAGGCCGAGAGGTGCCTGCATGAGGAGAGGTGGCTCTGTGAAGGGGGGGCTCTTCGTTCGGAGAGGTCCCTGCGTACGGAGAGGTTCCTGTGTATAGAGAGGTTCCTGCGGGCTCGGGCGGGGACGTCCCTGCGAATGGAGAGGCCTCGGCCTCTGTCTTCCCCTGCTTGGTGACTGTCGGGTGGACACCAGGAGAAGCTACAAGTCCAAAAGCAATGCCTCAGCACCTTCCCTGGCCCCTGCATCCCATCCCCAGACCGCTGAGCCTTGACCCCTGACCCCTCCCGTCTCCTCCCCTCCCCGGGACCAGTTTCTCAGAACACCCCCAGGTAAAGGGCACCCCAGGAAGCAAACAGAGGCCTAGCTAAAGCCGTGCTGAGCAAGCCCCACACCTGTGCGCAGTCTCCAGCCTTTTTGTGCCCGCGGCCTGTTCTCTGTGGGGAGGCGCACACTCCACCCCCACCTCCAAGACCCAGTCTAGTGACCGCTCGGTAGATGCCTTCCTGCCCTCCCGCTACAGTCCTGGCCAATTGTCACCTCTGCTCTCACCTGAAAGTCCTCATGTCACCATCACTTGCCCACCCCCACCACCCAGGTCTCAATCGTCCTTGATCTCCTGCAGGGTGGCAGGGACAGGCCCAGAGGTCAGGCAAAAGGCCCAGCCTCTCCTGCTCACCCCTCAGACACCCTAGAACACAGGGAAGCTCTGGCCACAGGCTGTATCTGCTTCCTGGCTCTGCTGCTTCCTGTGTGACCTTGAGCCAATGGCCTAACCCTGCGGAGCCTCCCATTGCTCAGCTGACAATCCAGCTCCCAGGATGTGGGGCCGCATAGCACAGTGTCCGACACCAGGCCGGCACCACTGGTTGTTTCTCTACAAAGGGGCCGAAGAGGGGCAGAAACCCATGCACTCACTCGATGCTGGGGGCTGAGTTTGCCAAGCTTTGGCCTTGGGCTGGAGGCTTGTAGCAAGAGGCTGGAAGGAGGGGGTGGGGGAGGGAGGACAGCAGGGACCTAGAGGAGAGGAAAGGCTGGTCTCAGGGAGGCAGGGATCACTGCTCTGAGCCAGATTTCCTGCCTTGGGAGCAGCCGGCAGCTCCCCCCCCCGCTCCCCCCGCCCCCATCTCCACTCAGCCCATCGCCACCTTTCCCCCTCAGCCACTCAGGAGCCATGGATGGCCGATTCCAGCAGACTGCTGGCCTTCCGCTCCTGCAGGCCCTTGGCCTCCCACTTAGCGCAGACCTTGAGCTTCCCTTGTCCTCCACTGCCCACCGGCCTTTTCCAGGCTGCCCTTCACACCGATGCCAGCTTTGTCTCTAAAATATCTATGGGACCCCATCACTTTCTACTTTAGAGCAGTCAGGGACTCCCCATGGCCCATAAGCTGAAATTCAAACGTTTTCTCATGCCTTTCAAGGCCTTTTAAACTCAGGCTTCAACCCACTGTGCCAACTTCACCTCTTCCCCATCCCGTGGGCCAACCAGACAGTTACCCTCTAGTCCAACGGTTCTCAACCTGTGGGTTGCGACCCCTTTGGCAGTCGAACGACCCTTTCACAGGGGTCGCCTAAGACCATCCTGCATATCAGATATGTACATGACGATGCATAACAGTAGCAACATTGCAGTTATGAAGTAGCAACGAAAATAATTTTATGGTTGGGTCACAACATGAGGAACTGTATTTAAAGGGCCAGAAGGTTGAGAACCACTGCTCTAGTCCCATCTAAGCTAGCCGCCTGCCTGCTTCCATACCTTGGACTTGCTATCCTGTGTGCCCTGCCTTTCCTTCCCATCTCTACCTAACTCACCAAGCACAGGCTCAAAAGTCGGTGGGAGGAGCCAATCCTTTATTCTTCGTGTACCCACAGCACCCTGTGCATGGCGCCAGTGGAACTAATACTCCATTTGTGGCAATAACTCATTTATGGGGTCTCCCCATTAGCCTGGGCTCCCCAGTGGGCTGGGACTTCCCCAGGGCAAAATGCCCAGCACAGTAGGCAGAAACCTACCGGGGCCAAGCTCCCAGCAGCCACTGAGCTCCCTGCCTCCCCCCCGTCCATCAGGCGCCTCCTTTCTGACTTGTATGCCATCCTGGACTCTTCATTTCCCACCATTTTCTATTGTAATCTAAGGCAGTTTTTCTCCACATTTTCTGAGTAAATGATCAAATCTGCAGATAAAGAATATTTTTCTTTCCCTTCCCACTATGTGTCCTTCTCAGTCGTGTCCCATTTCATTGCCTGGGGCCTCCAGGTAATGATGAATAGTAGTGATGGTAGTGGGCATCTTGCCTTGCTCTGACCTTCCTAGAAATTCTTCTGACGCTCTGCCATACTCTGTGGTGTGCAGACACGCACGCTGGCTCGTGAGAGCTAAAACGTAGCTTTACGGGAATTTTGTGAGCTGGTTGTTAAACTGCTGGTGGCTGGAAATTGGCATCGCAGGGGCGTTTACACCACAGAAATGGGCAAGCACTACAAGCCGGAGTTTCCCCCGCCATTCGTTATGTACCTTCACCAGCCCACCACTGCCATTAGCTTTCCTTATTTTCAATACCCCAACCGCTGTCAGAGAGAGGCCTGCAGGGTCTGATACAGGAGGGTAGTACAATGAAAACAGTAGAGCTCAAACGTAGGATTAGAATAAAGACCCATGGATGAGGGGGCTTTGGCAGTGGGGATGGGCCTGGGTGGGATGGGTCCCAGCTCTGGGGCCAGGAGAGGGAAAGAGCAGATTCCAAAGCCAGAAATGACCTGCTTTTGACTCCTGGCTCCACCGCTTCCTGCCAGGAGACCCCGGGCAAATCGTTTGATCTCTCGGAGCCTCCGTCCCCTTATGTGACATGCGACATGCGATACAAAGACCTACCTCCCCCTACTGACCTGCAGCCTGGGCTGCCCACTCCCCTGGGCCCCCTCTGGCTGCTTCTCCTCCTCGGCTCAGCAGGTCCAGGTGGGGTTCCGGGCACTCAGAGAGGTGCTCATCCCCAGCCAGACCCCCATGGCTCCCGCCCCAGCCCCCTAATGTTTCTGAGCCCAACAAGCCCCTCTGAGGCTGGTTGCCAGGCAGCACACCTGTCCGTGGGGCTGCACGGTCTGGGAAGAGGAGGCGAGAAGGAAGAGCCGAGGGAGCTACACGAGCTGCGGCCCCTGTGGCCATGGCTTAGGTCAGCGGTTCTCAACCTGTGGGTCGCGGCCCCTTTGGCGGTCGAACGACCCTTTCACAGGGGTCGCCTAAGACCATCCTGCACATCAGATATTTACATGACGATTCACAACAGCAGCAACATGACAGTTATGAAGTAGCAACGAAAATAATTTTATGGTTGGGTCACAACATGAGGAACTGTATTAAAGGGCCAGAAGGTTGAGAACCACTGGCTTAGGTGATGTGTGGGGAGGGCCCAGGAGGCCGTGAAGATGGATCCGGCCTGAGGAATCCTCTGGACGCTCTCTGACTCCAGGGAGGGAGGGAGGCAATCTTTTTTATTGTTCCAGCCGTGGCAATCTCTCCCACATCTGGGCAGAGAGGAAGGGCACTGAGCCTGGCGTTGGACAGACCTGGGTTCGATGCTGCTCTGCCACCTTCTAGTGGCGTGACCTTGGGCAGCAAGAGTGAGAGGACATCTGAGGCTCAGGCGGCAACCTCTGTGCCCCAAACGCTGATGCGCTTTTGACCTGTGTGGTTTCACCGAGTCCCTGAGACACACTCCCATGAGGCATTGCACCCTCTGTGCTGGGGAACTGGGTCCACTACCGGCCCACCCTCCCCTTGCCCTCGGCATCTCCGGTCCTCCCGCCAGGGAAGGAGAGACGTTACTTACCTGGCAGGACGAGCAGAGAGACCAGGAAAGCCTCGTCAATGCCCAGGATGGTGATGCCGCACCAGTAGTCCCCCGAGTCCTGCTTCGTGAGATCCCTCAGGGTCACGTTGAGCGTGAGCTTCTGGGGGTTGTCTTGGATGGACACCCTGCCCTCTGTCCTCTCCTGGCCATCTTCTCGCGCGTAGATGATGCCCGAGCAGCGGGAGACGATGAGCCCGCCCTTCTTGCACCAGTATTTCTTGTGCTGCCGCAGCTTCTCCTCGTAGGTGCACTGCAGGGACACAGTGTCGCCTTCGAATCCTCTGACCGTCTTCGGCCCCATCAGAGCTTCATAACCTGAAACCACAGCAGGGACAGAGGTCAGAATTCCCCGCATTCAAGCACCAGGGTCAAGACCAGAGGTTGTTCTCAATCACCCCCTTCTGGGGGCAGCCCTGTTGGAGCTGGTACTCCCCACCCACCAGGGGACCTTGGGACTGGGCTGTTGAAATATAGATATTGCTATATAATTGTTTCCCTAAACCTGACACATTAAAGGGTTATGGGGAAGGGGAGCTCTACCCTCAGACAGGCTGGAGTTTGCATCCCAGCACTGCCACTTAGTAGCTGTGTGACCTTGGGGAAGTTGCTTGACCTCTCTGGGCCTCTGAGTTTTCTCATCGATAGGTAATGACAATATCTTTTTGTTGTTGACGTTGAAAAGAATTACTTTTATGGATAGACATAATAACCCAAGGGCAAACATTTATCTACAAAATCCCCTGTTTGTCGAGGTCCGTGCAAAAGCAGCCTCCTGGCCTGTCACCATGACCTGCTGCAGGTGGAGTCTGGAGAGGTGTGATCGCGGCCGAAACCCAGGGAATTCTGCAGCCTCTGGAGAGTCCCCCACAGCACAGGGCAGTGCCAAGTGAGGACTTGGTCATGGGGGTCCCTGACCTCCTGCTCAAATAGGATAAGGTATTTGGGTGGCTCCTCTCTTCATATGGACTTTTGGAGTCTGCCTGGGTGTCTAACAAGTGGTCATGTTAATAACTGGAGACTCAGATTTAAAGGCGGGTCTAAAACTAATAATCAATGAAAAGGCAGAATACAAAAGCATACATCCTGAATTATCTGTTTGTTTGTTTTTAAAGAAAAAATACTTTTAATACTCACACAGGCAGCCAATTAACATTGGTTAGCTCAGTCGGTGACATTTTCTTCTCCACAATGTGCACTATGTAATTTGTTCTTTTAAAATATTATTATTTTCTTTTCTTTCCTTTTTAAAAATATCTTTTATTGCCAGAACTGGTTTGGCTCGGTGGATAGAGCGTCGGCCTGAGGACTCAAGGGTCCCGGAATTGATTCCGGTCAAGGGCATGTACCTTGGTTGCGGACACATCCCCAGTGGGGGGCGTGCAGGAGGCAGCTGATCAATGTTTCTCTCTCATTGATGTTTCTGGCTCTCTATCCCTCTCCCTTCCTCTCTGTAAAAAATCAATAAAATATATTTTTAAAAAATCTTTTATTGATTTTTTTACAGAGAGGAAGGGAGAGGGATAGAGAGTTAGAAACATTGATCAGCTGCTTCCTGCACACCCTCTACTGGGGACGTGCCCGCAACCAAGGTACATGCCCCTGACCGGAATCGAACCTGGGACCCTTTAGTCTGCAGGCCGACGCTCTCTCCACTGAGCCAAACCGGTTACGGCTTATTTTATTTTTCTGCTGCAGTTTACATTCCATATTATTTTTATTAGCTTCATGTGTACAGCATGGTGGTGGGACAGCCATATACTTTACAAAGTGCTCCCCCTGCTAGTTTCAGTGCGCACCTGGCCCCAAGCATAGTTATTACGATATTATTGACTGTATTCCCTGTGCTGTCCTTACATCCCAGTGACTGTTTTGTAGCTGCCAATCTGTACGTCTGAATCCCTCCACCCTTTTCACCCAGTCTTCCCTCCCTCCTTCCTCTGGCAACCATCAGTCTGTTCTCTGCATCTATGAGTCTGTTTCAATTTTGTTTCTTTGTTTATTTTGTTCTTTAGATCCCACATATAAGTGAAATCAGACGGTGTTTGTCTTCCTCTGACTGACTGACTTCACTTAGCATAAGACCCTCTAGGCCCATCCATGCTGCCCCAGATGGTAAGACTTCGTTCTCGTTTAACGTAAGATGTAATCACATGTAAGACACACTACCATTTTACGTGCTACTAAGAAAAACATTGTCATTCGAACAACTGGCCTCACTTACAAAATGCATCCTGATTGTTGATGTTAGAAGGTTAAAAATAAAGCAGGTCTGTGAGTTGATGAAACGTGAAAGTTGCCTCTCAGGGTTGTTGTGAGTTTAGCAGCAGTTCAAGAAATATTTGCTGAGTTTAAGGTGGCAACGGTATGGGGGATGTCTGATCTGCCTCCAGGCTTGGCTCCGAGTGGGAGAGTGATGAGAGAGGCAAAGCTTCTCACAGCCACACAGACACGGAGAAGCTGGAGCCCCAAGCTGGGGACAGCACCCGGCTCTGGGTTCCAGAACCAGCAAGTGACGCCCTTTGAGGGCTGAGGAGGCTGAGGAGGACGGGGGTGGGGTGAAGCCTGGAAGGATCCGGCAGGGCTGGTCACAGCCACGCGCACAGAGGGAAAGGAAATGCCGGTTGGGGGGGGTCCTCTCTCTGCAGACTCACAGCCTCAGCCCCACATCCCTCCACTACGCCCTCTGCCCCATCTCACCTGGGAGCAGGAGGCAGCCCCACAGCAGGACCAGGGGCCCCATGGTGGGCACAGGACACGCAGGAGCACACGCGGGTGAACTGGGAGCGCCTCTTGGGAGCACATGAGCTTTAACTTCCTCCAGATGAGTGGGATCCAAACGAGGAAGGGAGGGGAGGGGCCGTGTGGGTCACCCCTGGGCACCCAGCCCAGGGATCCGCCTTCGCCATTCAATCTAATTACCTCCCTCCCCCCCGTTAGGCCCCCCCCTAAAATATTCCAGGACAGCACTTCTCCCAAACCCCTGTCCCTTCCGAGGAGTCTTAACCACACCCACAGCCATACACCTAAGGGGGTCTGTGTGTAAAATTCAGGGAGTCCATGAATTGGGATGAGAAAAAAAATTACATATTGACCTTCAAGTGATCTCTTTCCCTTCTGAGTGTTAGCAGGACCGGCGACTTTGCCACCAAGACAAGTCACAGACACTAGCACAGCACGTTGTCACCGATGACTCAAAATATCGTGGATGCTCCTCATGGCACGGAAAATCTTCAGTAATTAGGTTTGCCACTAGAGCTGGCTCTTGACAGCACTCATAGAGACAGATGCACATTTCCTCCTGTGTTACCCACATACACATTTTGATAACCACTTCAGTGTTGTTGGTTTTCTGCTAAGCATGTGTATTTTATATTTTTAAAAGACCATTATTCTGCTCGACAGTGTGGCTAAATGGTTGAGCATCGACCTATGAACCAGGAGGTCACGGTTCAATTCCCAGTAAGGGCACATGCCCTGGTTGCGGGCTGGATCCCCAGTCTGGGGCGTGCAGGAGGCAGCCCTATCAGTGATTCTCTCTCATCACTGGTGTTTCTATCTCTCTCTCCCTCTCCTTTCCTCTCTGAAAAAAAAAAGACCATTATTCTGAGAGGGGGCCAGAGAATAGGTCAATGGGAGAGGTTAGAGGACGCAGTACGGCTCTTGGCCACCAGGCGGCGGTGCAGGCAGGGGTCAGCGTCTGCAGGGCTGGGCTGAGAGGGTGCCATCTGCAGGCCGTGCTGCAAGGCTGGTCTTCCCATGCGCGCGCGCACGCAGAGCCGTCTTGGCATCCAAAAAGGTGAATTAGCGGTTTCCCACCGTAGATTTGAATCCTTCTGGAAAGGAACAAAATGCACACGGACACTAGAGGGAGCCCTGACACATCGTTTTCCAAAATCGGCCTGTCGGTGTGTTTTTTTGGATTGCAAAGTTCATGCAGCTTGTAAGCAAAATTTTACACAACACAGAAATGCTATAAAAAAAACAACAGAACAATGGGAATGTTTCCTGTAATTCCCCTTCTCTGTCAGAAAACCGCTGTTTACATTTGGGCATGTGTACATCCATACAGACAGCCAGAATTTTATCCACTTGTTGGGCTAATATTTGAAGTAATAATTCACTGATTCTGGGAGGGGTGTGTGTGTGTGTGTGTGTGTGTGTGTGTGTGCGCGATATTCTGGTGATGTGGGAGACAGGTTTTAATTTCTCTGTGATTGTGGGCACTGCTGGGCAGGACAGAGGTTCACATCAACGAAAACCCTGTAAGGATGAGCCCAGCCCAGGACCCCACTCCCATTACATGTATAGGCTGCAAAAGGTAACCGGTTTCTGCAGTTTTAAAAACACAGACGAAAATAATATTTATTCTAGCGTTTGATAGTATATCTCTGTTCTTTCACTGTTGTCTGTCCTATACAGAATAGTTTCTGACCTTCCTGCTTATCTCAAATCCTAACTATTTGTTATAGGCAGGGACGAGCATCTGACACTGTCACGTTTTCCAGCGTCTCAGGGCCTGTGCGTTGACACTTTGAAATGTTTTATTTGGTGACAAGTTGTTTTCCTTTTATTTGTTCCCTCTGTTACAGCTCAGGCATTGTATTGTGATTTTTTTTTAAAGTAAGTGTGAGAAGACATATTATTTATGATTGCATTTCCGGAGAGTAAAAGAAGTGTTACCAAAATGTGAATTTTCATGTAGAGGGGGTTGGGTCTAATGTGCATCATCCTTGCTCCCTTCATGTGTATGGCGAGGTCCTTCCCTCCGCAGCCCCACACCTAACCAGGAGCCAGGTTTGCGGACTCCGTTAGAAACAGATCCTCCAGGCCTAAAAGTATTGCAAGAGCCGGGGAGAAGGGCCTAGTGAGGGGTTAGTATGGGCCCTGCACCGGGTCCTACCCCGTGGGATGGATGGAGGGAGAGCAATGGGGTGGGCAAGATGTGTCCCCTGGTGGGTTTGGGGATCTGAGAGGAGAGAACACATGTGTCCTGCTTCTTACCCAGAATACTGGGAGGATATTAGTGGAAAAACTAGTCAAATACTAATAAAGTCTGGAGTTTAGTTACTAGTAATGTACCAAAGTGAATTTCTTGGTTGTGACAAATGTATCACGGTTACATAAGATGTTAACGTTAGGCGGAGCAGACAGAATGAAGGACCTTCGGGGGGGGGGGGCGTTCTGTACGTATAAAATTATTCCACAATGTAAAGTTTATTTTATTTATTTATTTATTTATTTATTTATTTATTTATTTATATATTATTGATTTTTCACAGAGAGGAAGGGAGAGGGACAGAGAGTTAGAAACATCGATGAGAGAGAAACACCGACCAGCTGCCTCCTGCACATCTCCCGTTGGGGATGTGCCTGCAACCAAGGTACATGCCCTCGACCAGAATCGAACCTGGGACCCCCCAGTCCGCAGGCCGACGCTCTATCCACTGAGCCAAACCGATTTGGCATTATTTATTTTTAAACATATATTTTTATTGATTTCAGAGAGGAAGGGAGAGGGAGAGAGAGAGAAGCATCAATGATGAGAGAATCATTGATCACCTGCCTCCTGCACGCCCCCTACTGGGGACCAAGCCCGCAACCCGGGCATTTGCCCTTGATCAGAATTGAACCTGGGGGACCCTTGAGTCCTCAGGCAGGCCAACGCTCTATCCACTGGCCAAACTGGCTAGGGTGTAAAGTTTTTGTTGTTGTTGTTGTTTTTCTAAAAAGCAGTGAACAGCCAACAAAAACATGAGTGATTGCCTGGCTGAGGCCTGCAAATAGGAACCCAGAAGGATGAGCTGAGCACGCAAGGTGCTTTGGGCCTGGGGAGCACCTGCTGGTTCAGGAGGAGCCACTGAGGGGATGTCGGAGTCTAGGGCTATCCTTACACACATTTAATCACCTTAGACCAGGACGCCAAAGGGCTGCACTTTGGGAGAAGGGTGAACTGCAAGTACCCAGGCCACCGTGGGTGCCTGCTCAGCTAGGTCATTAGGTGTCCCAGGAAACTTCAAGCTTTGAACTTGAATTAAAAAAATTGGTCCTGGTCTGGTAATACCCTCTCCCCCCCTGCCATCCCCAGGTACCTTAAAGATACCAGTGAAAATCCTTTCTGGAAGAAGATAGCATCAGCCTAAGCCTCAAATATTTGAAAACCTTTTTTCCCTCCAAATACAACCCAATCCTATGTATTAAAGGGCAAAATGCAAATCAACCAAACAGCAGAATGACTGGTTGCTATGATGTGCACTGACCACCAGGAGGCAGATGCTCAATGCAGGAGCTGCCCCCTGGTGGTCAGTGCGTTACCACAGGAGGAGCACCGCTCAGCCAGAAGCCGGGCTCATGGCTGGCGAGCGCAGCGGCGGTGGTGGGAGCCTCTCCCCCCTCCACGGCAGTGCTAAGGATGTCCAGGGAGTGGGCCTAAGCCATCAGTCGGACATCCCCTGCAGGCTCCCGGATTGCGAGAGGGTGCAGGCTGGGCTGAGGGACCCCACCGAGTGCACGAATTTCATGCACTGGGCCTCTAGTATACAATGAAAGAGAACCAGATATAGTCTGAGGAGACAAGACTCTTAAGCGAGAATGTACAAGAGAAGCAGACCTGTGGAGACTACAGAGATTGAAAGCAGCAGGCGTTGCCTTAACACAACCATTCTCACTGTGTTTAAGGAGGTAAAAGTCAAGCTTGAAATTGTTGACAGGGAATTGGAAAGTATAAAAAAATGAGCCAGCAGTTTTTAAAAAGAACAACATAAAATTCTAGGACTGAAAAATACAATCATTAGAATTAATAATTCAATAAATGAGTTTCAGGTGAGACACAGTTGAAATGATAATAGTGAACCAAAGAAATCATCCAGAATGAAGCAGAGAGAAATAAATGGAAGGAAAATAAAGAAGAGAGGGTAAGAGAAATGGGGAATAACATAAGAATGCCCAACATACATTTTATTGGAGACGAAAATGAAAGAAGATAGAGGATGTGGCACGAGCAGTAATCAAAGAAATAATTGCGAGAATGTTCCAAATGTGAAGAAATGCACCATGGGCCCTGGCCGGGTTGCGAGGTTGATTAGAGTGTTGTCGGATATGCCAAGGTTGCAGGTTTGATCTCTGGTCAGGGCATATACAAGAAGCACCCAATGAATGCATAAGTAAGTGGAACAACAAATCGATGTCTCTCTCTCTCTCTCTCTCTCTCATCAATTTTTTTTAAAAAGAAGCACACCATGTGTTTTTAATATGCACATGACTATAATATTTGGGGTGCTAAAGCCTGTGCCCAGGGCATGGGCCTCTCTTGCCTAGGTACAGTGTGGACACTTGATCTGTGACAAAGGTGGCACAGTAGAGTGGGGCGGGGAGAGGATGGGCTTTTCAGTAAGTATGTTAGAACACATGGAAAAAATGCGGGATGTGACCCCTGCCTCCCATTACCCACAAAAATCAATTCGAAGTGGATTCCAGAACTAAAGGAAAAAGGCAAAATGATAAAGCTTTCTGAAGATAATGTAGCATATGTTCATGGTCTCTGGGGTGGGGAAAGAGTTCTTAAACAAGACACCAAAAGCACAGACCACAGAGGCAAAGACTGATAAATTAGACTGTGTTAAAATTAAAAACAGTTCATCAAAAGATGCCATGAAGAGTGAAAAGACATACCCACAGAGTGGGAGGAAATATCAGTCACACAAATCACAGACAACATGAATCGATCATAAAAAAAAAAGATAATATTGAGTGAAAGAAGCCATGTGTACAAAAGACATCTTGTAAGATTCCATTTAGATGTCTGAAAGCAAACCAAAGGA